GATGGAGAACGTCAGCCTCTTCGCGCCAGCCGATTACGTTGTTCGTCCAGCAGCACTGACGCCTCGCTCATAATCTTGGCAGTGGTGCGCACCAGGAATAATAGTTGATACTCGTCCGTGACGGTGAGAGCTGCCTTTGTCTTGACGAGAGCGTGGAGCACGTTCGCCCTCTCGAGATCGAGCCACCGTTGAAGCGCCACTTCCCTCTCCCGCGGCCCACCGAGGGGCACATCGGCCGGGCCCCACAGCGAAAACTCCAACACGGACTTCACCTAATTGCCGATCGATATTTAAACGTAACATTTTCTTTTATTTGTTACATTGTAAGTGTGGTTGAAGCTTGGAGCGATCTTCGAGTGAAAATTAAAAAAAATTTATTTTATCGGTTATGGGGAACTTCCGGGCTCTCGTTTCCAAGAAACTATTTTTTTGTTCTAACGTTTATCGTTCCGCAAAATGCAAAAATACGATCATTTGTTCGCACAAGGACAAAAAAGCAAAAATGGGTAAAAAGTGAACATTCTGAGAATGTTTATATATAATTATTTATAAGTGTTTATGTCCACGAAATAAATGAAGATACTGAATGAAGAGCAGAAAAAATAGTTTGATTCAGTTAAGTGTTTACGTCATGGGCAGCCATAAACATAAGCATTTACTTCAATTATATTCGTATAATATAATTTTTTAGATGTGGGTCGTACATAATTATGTATGTTTATATATGTGCATAGACAAAATAGATATCATTTCTTCCCGGGAAATATTTTCAAATTGGAAAATTCACTTTTCACTATTTTATGCTGAAGGAGAAGATTCACAATCCCTTGGTGGTTGATCATGAATTTTCTAGCGTGATTTCGTGAAAGGGAAATTTTCTAATTTGAAAACATTTGGAGTTTGCACTTTTCGCGTTTCCGCCCTAGAGGAAAATTACATGATCGATAAAAGATAAGAGATAGAGATAAAAGATAAGACACCAAGATAAAATACGCCGGTTCTCACCTGCGAAAGGGTAACCGCTCTCTCGCGTATCAGCAGATCTCGTATGAGAGGCAGCTCGCTCGTGAGATGTAACTGCTGCAGCGCTATCAAAGCGCACTCGCACAGTGAGGCTCGTTCCTCGCCGGGTTCATCGCACGGGCCTATGTTTAACCTCCTGCAAAAGCGGAAATTGCACGTTGCTTGCGTTGGGATGCGGGTAACGCAGATTAGATTGTTACACTGCATTATGTTGTCATCGTCGTGCGGAAAAAGAGCTAACCCTTGCAGCAGATACAGCCGATAACAGATATCCTTGTCCTCCCTGCAGAGTATCACGTCGCTCAGGAACTTGCTGGTGTCCTCGATCCCACGCGCCTGAAGACTCTTCAGGGCGTTCACGAGCTGAAGCAGCACGAACGAAGCCTCCCGACTTGCACCCTCGTTGCTCGTGTCCTTCGACAACGTCCCGAACGATTGCACGGTGGTTACGTGCACACGCGGCAGAACCGAAATCGTAGCTAAAACGGGAATTACTATTATATATCCATGAAGGTTTCATGTATCTCTCAGTGGCGGATTTATTCATAAAGAAACTATATATTGATGCTGAAGCATCAGACTCCCCATCGAAAAGAGGCCCTATTTCGATCCATCAATTTACATTTTTTTTTAGTTTTTTTTATTTATTTATAAGTTGAGGTGTCTCTGAAATAATATTAACATCAGGCTTCTAAAAGTCACCATCCGCCACTGATACATCACCGACTCTCACCGTAGGACGTTACGTTCCTTACCTTCCGTATCCTCGTTGCCGGATGATCGGACCTTCCCGACGATCTCCTTCGGCACTGTATCTACGAATTCTATTATAGGTGCCAGATAGAAGTCCCTTTGCGGCGTAGGCACTGCTAGGTCGAACGTTATGCAGAGTGTGACGCTTTGATCGTTCCACGTCGCCGGACAGAATATTCTCCTGCCGACGGAGACCGACGTCAGAGTGTCGACGTTGAAGTGCTTCAGCCGCGAATTCGCGTTTTTCAGGGCGCGCAGACCCACCGGTAACTGCATCGTTTGATTTTCCTGCAACAAGGCGAATTTTCAGGTCTCATAAATACTTGTTGATCATCGCAATATTTGAAAATTATGCCGTTGTCGCGCGATAATAAAATGAATGAGTATCCTTAATATGCAGAACGTCTTCTGAGAGTAACCTATGCGTGTCGATCCGCAGAAAACAACGAAGACGGTGACGCACCTGCTCGAGAAATTGGGCGAGCGCTTCGTGATTCGCCACCACCACCGCCCCGTAGTTGTCCTCGAGGCTTCGATGAACGATGCTGCGTCCTCTGCGTTGCCTCAAGCGGCTCATCCTCGGCTCGTCGTCCCTGCTCTTCCAGTCCTGATCCTCCTCCGCACCCTACTTCCGCAAGTATCTCGTTAAGTTTCCGAATCGGTCCCATCCCATACAGCACAAAAGTTTGCATCAATATTGCAACATCGCTGCAATGTTGTTGCAACAATATTGCTGAAAATTTCTCTGTTATATGGGATGCAGCACACTTGATCCGAGGAACGTCCTAGGAACGTCCTTAGGACCTCCTCCGTTTTGAAAACGTAGAACGTCTTCTGGAGGTCTGTGCTGTATGGGGATTTGTCTCAAGAGTTTGAACGGAACACGTTCATCAGAGTTCGAACTCCGACGGCGTACCTCATCGCCCGTGTAAAAAGTGTACGGCGCGTAGAGCTCGCTTTCGGTCTCACTGCCGCAATACGGCAACGAGGTCGACCTGACGAACGGTTGATGATGGAACTTCTCCGCCCCGTTCTCCATCGCGCTACTGTCCGACTTCCTCTTGCAGGCGGCGCGGAATCCGCCTCCGATTCCGTGTCGCAGCTCGAGATTCGAGTCGCACTCGGGCGAGCTCGAGAGGCACTCGTACACGTGGCTGTCGTTGGACGTCTGTCGGAATGCAAATGCGCCGGGGGTGTACCAATATCGAAATTTCTCTCAGTGAGATCGAAAAATGGAGCGACCACTCGAGCCACTCGAATTCGAGGGTGACTTTTCACTCTCACGGAGTGAATTCTTCCCTCCGAATCGTCGAGTGAATGTCTTCACTCTTCAATTTCAGTGACGTACGAGAGACTCCATTAACGCGTCGATGTTACATGTAATCCTATCCCCTGGACATAGCGACGTCGGAAATTTCGAATCATCGTGTATCAATGATTGAAATATTGCTAAATATTCGTGCATCATGACTATTTTAAGTAAAATCTCGCCCCAAGAAATTTAGAAAGTACTCAATAAGTTGGCGTTTTCACGCGTGTGGATTCGACGGTGAGATCGTTACCGGTGAGTCGGAAGTGGGTCGTACAAGCCCGTCGTAATCCTGATGTTGACTCTCGGCTGGCGCGCCGTGCCTCTTCGGGACTGGTTGCGAGATGACTCGGTCTCTCATACTGGCGGTTCTTTGGGGTTTCGAGGGTGCCAGGGCGCTGCGCACCTCACCTGTAACATCCTCCGCTGCTGCAGGCACGTCCGCCATCGTCAAGCGCCACGGGTTAGTACCACAAGACACAAGGCATGTCACGAAACAGGCTAGCTATCTAAACACTAGTTCGCCTAGCGCGTCTAAAATACTAAAAGAACATCCGCGTCGCATGATACGAGACTGTCGGTGACTTCCATCAAACTCTGATTAATCCGACGATTTGAAATTGCTCTCTCAGTCTCAAATACTTCCTGCCTTTGCCTTGCTAACGCGGACGGAAGTGATTAGCTCTTCGATTATTGTTGAACGACAAGTTTTCAAGTGGAACAGAAAATGACGATAACATCGAGATGACGTCGAAATGACGAGAAAATGATCGAAAATTCGGGAGAAGAAAAATGTCTCATATATAATTATATATAGAATATATCTTTAACCTGAGTTTGATCAAAGTCACTCTGGGAATGACAAGATGACGAACGTTAGTTCACCCATCACGCGTGTCCCACGTGTGTGTGTGTGTGTGTGTGTGTGTGTGTGTAGATGAGTTTTGCACGGACGAGGTGTCCTTCGCAGTCGGGTAGTTTCCGGCAGCTGATTTCGATAGACTTTATCATTAACGTTTGTCGGGGAAAACCGGATATCGCTTTAGTGTCACCGGATTTTATGTGGATAACATTTGTACATTATCAGTGCCGCCAACATTGTCCGGCTATCGTTAACCACAACGTCAGAACAGACAGAAGAGTCAGATTAGATAACTCGCGTTATCTGATCCTCCAAGTAACATCCGAGGCGTGCAGGTGCCCGGATTGCTAAAGCAACGAGCTCTATTAGTAATTTATTTTCACCACAGCTCTCGAAAATGACGAATTGAATTAATATTTGCTCGTTCATATCGACTTTCATGACGTTGGTGAATACTAATAATAACTTCCAATAGTTCCCGAATGTAATGGCATTTCCGATTATAATCCGATAATATCCGAAATAACTGGAAGAGGGAAGGCTTCAGGTAGCCGTTCACAGCACTAATGTAAACCATACAAAAAAAATACTACTTATCGTCGAGGAAATTCAGTCGTGATAAAACTATCGTATACGATAGATTAGAGAAACAACATATAATTAGAGAAACAACGATCACAACGAGTTCCCAATTGACAAGCACGAGGATTTTCCAATTGACAAGCATATACGGTCCCCGTCCATATTATTAGACGTATCTTAATTTTTTACATTTCATTAACTTCCGAGGACCAACTATATAACACGGCTCATCCATCGATCGAATTATGTTAAGGAACCATTGTTCTATAAAAGGTATTTTTTATGACGTCATTTCACCTGGCTGTACACAATAACCTTGGGCAAATATGAACCCGCGCTAGTTGCATTGTTGATAATAACGAGAACAGACGTGGGTTTTGAGTGTGTGTCAATTGAAATTTAAATTTACTTTTGTTTATTTATGACTTGAAACTTCAAATTCCTTGCTTGCTAACAGAAAAAATAAATTTCTGCGCGAAAAATATTATTAACACATTAAGGGCGGGAGTCGTAGTACTACGATTTATCTCGACTGCGGCTTAAAGGCGGGAGTCGTAGTAATACGATTTAGCTCGACTGCGGCTTAAAGGCGGGAGTCGTAGTAATACCATTTAGCTCGACTGTACCTTAAAGTTTTTATGATCACACAAAATATCGCCCGCTCTAGGCCGAAAAACGAGGCGGGCGGCCGCCGCGCTACCTAGCATACTTTCGTCGAGATCGCCCGCCGTTAATGTGTTAATATTGTTTGCAAAAATTATGGGTAAAGCAAGTGATTTGACATCTCAGAAAGTTGCAGAAGTAAAGGCGCCGATCGACACCGAAGTTTATTCTAATCGAATAAAAATAAAATTATTAGCTTTTCTTCTCTTCCTGATCTGTATTCTATTAAATAATCAAAGCACGTCTAATGATATGGCCAGGGACTGTATATATATTTATGTGTGTGTCATCTAAATTTAAATTAATAATTCTAAAGGTATACGATGCCAATATACGCAATCAGTGCATGCAATGCATGCGGCGTTAGTTGCACCCAGCGTCGGTTAGGAGTGTTCGCGCGCGGCAACGTCAACAAACGTTACCTGTGGCACGCGGTGCGCACCGTTACGTAACTATCACAGAGGGAGAAAAGAAAACGGAGAGAGACGTGAACGCGATGTGTATGTGTGTGTGTGTATGTGTGTATGTGTGTGTGTACAGTTACGCTTGAGTAGTCGCGCCTTTGCCAGCGCGATGGACGCGACCGCTGTTCTCGCGTTAATGAGGGGATAAATGCAAAGGTGCAACGAATAAGCCATAGCATCGGGAGGTTACGTTCCGCATCGCGTTATATAGCGCACGACATCGCGCAAGATCAAGAGAGAGAGAGAGAGAGAGGAAACAAAACTCCGTGATTTGTGTTTTTTTTTCAGACATTATACGTTTATTTCAGACACAGATATTTCGTACAGAATCTTCGCTGCCGCATTCCTCGTATCTCTTTACAGGAAGACGAGTCGATAAGTAAATAACAAACAAAGATAGCGCACTTGCTTGACCAGCCATTCTCAAACTCTTTGCTGCAGCCTTACCGTGTCGTAGAACGCGCGTAGGATACTCGCGAAGTGAACGGTTTTCCTCGGGAAAACCAGCGTAGAAAAAGACGAAAAAAAGGGAGGCAAGGAAGCCGTAAGCACACTCTCCGATCACCTACGAAGTGCTGACAATACGCGGAACAATACCCGTGCCTGACAGTCGAGTCCGAGAGTATAGGAATAAGCTTTTCTCCAAATGAGACAGTATTACACAAAATATTATTATTATTATTATTATTATTATTATTATTATTATTATCGATATAACACGTATCACAGAATATTGTGACCTTCCAAGAGCGGGATTTTAGCGCCTCTTCGAGAAATCAAAACCCCCAATTCTCGCTTCGTGCAATCTAGAGTATCTAGATAATAAGAATATAAACACCGTCGCTATGGCCGCCAATGTTTGAGTCAAAACCGAAAGTTCACGGTCATAAAACGCGAAATGAAACACCAAGTTTTTTCGCATCTTTCCTTTTCCAGGTTTTTCATGTCTATCTCAGGATATCTCAAGAAAATTCCAAGACATTTCCCGGTTTTCTGCGGCAACCCTGAATTATACCACCATTTGTTGTCATCGCATGCTTATTTCGCATTTGGTAAGGAAAAAGGATAATAGATGACATAACTACACCGGTGTCGACCTTTATCTCTCGCTGGGAAACAATCCTCGACACATCCCGGCCGGAAGCCGGCCGAGGGCATGGCAGAGCCAATCAGAAACCAGACGTACGGTGTTCACACTCATATTACAGATACTCTAACGCGACCACGACGGAAGCGCGACGCGCGGCTGCTCGGCCAATTGCTTTACATTAGAGGAGGAGGAGGAGGAGAGAATCGCTCGTCCTCCCCGCGGACAGCAAGTTAAAGTATCGTCATCCGGTGTTGCGTGGCTCGATCGCTATACCCGCGCAAGCGGGGGCGGGGTGACGTCTCTCTCGCGTTCTCTTCTTTCTTTAAACATCTTTTCCTCTTTCTCGTGATAAACATAATATTTCTCTAAGCGGCTGGCGCGAGGATTCGTGTGAGTATGGCTGTTAACATCGAGAAATGGTCGCGACGATCACTTAGTTGCACTGTATGGGCCTGAACTTACCCAGGTTCGCGTAAATCGAGTGGTCCGAGGTGGCGGCGGCAGCCGGCCTCCAGGCGGACTTCGAAGACGGCTTGTCGCTCGTCCGGGCGGGGACGCTCAGTTTCGCGTCGGCCCGCGGCGGCGGCGGCCTGACCGGCTTGCTCGCCGGGTCCAACCTCGACCAGTCCTCCAGGGACTGATTCCTCGGCGGCGGCGGAGGTTTCCCGGGCCTCGCTGTAACAGGGTCACGGTTCACGTGAAGATCTCTCCGCCGAGACGACCCCGAGATACCCCGCCGGGGTGGTGCGAGAGTCGGGCTTACCCTGCGACGGCGGAGGGAAACGCCCAGCCTTCGGCCCGTCGCCCCTGGCGGAGTCCGTCTGATCCTCGCCGCCGATCGTCCTGCCGGCGACTCGGTCGTTCCCCACCACCTCAACCGCGGCGCCGTCCAGCTCGAGAGGATGGATGATCTCCAGCCGCGGCTTCGGCTGCGGCGTCGACGGTATCTCGTCGGTGCTCCTCGCGCCCGACGTCTGCCCGCTTACCATGTCCATGTCCTTCCTCGAGCCCATCCTGAGGAACCTCTTGAGCGAGAAGCCCCGCCGGCTCCTGCCCCTCTTCTTCTCCTCCCGCGCCTCCTTCTCACTCGTCAAGCTGTCCTGCGACAGGGAGATCGTTCTTCGGGGCTCGCCGGTCTTCGCGCCTTCGGTGCTCGTCGGGTCCGGCAGCTCGCAGACCGCCTTGCGGAACTTCGGGCTGCACGAGGACGAGCGTTCGCGCTTCTCCTTCTCGCGCACCACCGGCGAGTCGGACTTGACGAGACTCGCTCCTGGATTTCGGGCGAACAGGGAGGAGGAGGCCGGCAGCAGTTCCTCCGCGGATTCCGCGGCCGGCGGCCGCGGAGCCATCCTCCTCTTGTTCGGGGAGCGCACCAGTTCCATCGTGGAGATGGACACCGGGATCAGCTCGGCGAAGTCCTCGTCCGGCGCGACCATCTCTTCGACTTCCCCGTTCTCCATCGGGCTCTTCGACGGGCTCAGGCTCGAGGATGTGGAAACGGGGGACGAGGATGCGAGGGCGAACCTCGACGATCCTTTCGTCCGGCTCTCGGATTCCGCGATCTCGCTCGCGCTCGGGGACTCGACGACCTCCGACGACGGAGCCTCGTTCGGCGGGTTCTTCTTCGCGGAACGCCGCAAGCCTGCCTCTAGCGCACCTGCAATTAAAGTATCCAAGTGTGTCTAATAATATGGCCAGGGACTGTAGTTGTTTTCAACAGGGTGAACAGCAAAACATTCAGTTACACGGAGGAAATTGTTTCTTCCGCGCACGAAGCGAATGAAACGAGGGAAGGATGACGAGCTGTTTAAACGGTGCCGAACATGTGACGCAAAAACACAAAGTCTCTCGGTTCCTGCAATCGAATAAAAACCAGACGAAAAGTCGGTGACAAGAAACGACGTCTCTGTTGTCGCGACTGAGAGCATTCGTGTGGACGGTAAGCCGTGTTCAAGCCCGGTCGGGACAGCTGAGAGCAATTGACCACGCAGGAACCTCCTGCAGGAATCCTGATCCCAAGACACCGAGCTCTCGTCTGGTCCTCGGACACACAACGTAGAGGATCCAGTTAGACCAACGCAACCGTTTTCTCCGTGCGATACTTACTGAAATTCTGAGCGGATCTGCCGGCGACATTTTGCACCGACGGCGGCGGCAGCACGTAATCGCCGTTGGGAATTTTCCTCACGGTGAGCGGAGGAGCGTCGACCGGGCTCGCCTTCGCGGAAAAGGTCAGGGGCTTCTGCGGCACCGCGGGCTTCGCTTTCGAATCGACGTTAATAACGCCGCCGTGCAGAAAGGACGGCCTGGGCTCCGTAGCTACGATCGGCGGCGGGCTGCTCGGCAACGCCGGCGGTTCCGTCATCTCCTCCTCGTCCGCCTTGCCGTCCGGCTCGCCCGCGAGTTCCCGCGAGCTCTCGAAGCAGAACTTCTTCTTCTCCTCTTCCATGCACCGTCCCTCGACCTCGCGCCCTCGCGGCGACGCGGCGTCCACCACCTTGGCGGCGGTGTCCTTGCCGGCGACGCTCATCGGACGGTCGCTCTCCGGCGCCTCGTCGTTCCTCGAAGACGTCGCGGCGATGACCGAGGGTCCTTCCTCTTCGCGTTTCGGACGCGCCTCGCCCTTCTTCGTCGACGTCCTCTTCTCCCCCACGGCGCTCGGCGCGGATTGCGTCCTTGACGTCTCAGCCTCAGTCTTTTTCACCGTCGCCCCGCCGCCGCGCGGCACCACGCCGTTTCTCTTGTTGTCCGGCTTACCGAGTTGTTGCGCGCACCTCTGCGTCATCTCCGCCGCTTTCTCCGCGTCCATCGCCGGCGCGTTGACGCAGCCCGCCGGACTGCCCTCCTTGCGGACGACGGTGATCATGTTGGCGGACGTGATCAGCGGCATGTCCACGATCTTCTCCAGCTGCTCGGGGGGCCGCTTTTGTTCCTGCTCATCGGCCTTTCTCCGTTCCGCCCCGTTGAGCTTCCTCGCGACCTTCAACACGATCGGCGAGAACGTCAGACGCGAGCCCGTTTTTTCACGAGCTCGGCCGTGTACTGGGTATTGCTTCAACGTATTGAACAGTATAACAAGTCGCTGCAAAAGCACGTATGAGAGAATGAGAGCGAACCGGATATGCACGCTCTCACTCTCTCACATGTGTCTTTGCGACAACCAGGCATACTGCTCTGTATATTGATGGCAACACTCTGTATATATATACACGTTTAAATATTTATATATCACTTTCTATTATGCGGTCACCTCTCTATTAGCTCAACTGACGTACAAATAGAGCATTAAGATCAATAAATAAGAAAAATTACAAATAAATCATATCTCCGCGCTTGTAACATTGCGTATATATTCGTCTTAATTTCGTTCAAAATTAATACTTGTTACTTAGATAATTAAATAAAGTTGCAAGAAAGTCTTTTTTTCAGTAAGTAATAAACGTATGAAAGAGCCGTAATGTCGTCAGTGAAAATCCAGCGCTGTACGGACCAATTATCTTAACTCGGGCGTGAAAAGTAATAATAATAATATATTTATATATTATACTTTAATAATAAAAAAAATAAAATAATAATACTTTTTTGGATATACATTACCGACAACTTACGAAAACCGCACTAAAATTATGATACAACGCAATATTAAAAAACTACTTTAGCGTCCACATTATTTCTTTCTAATTGTAGAAAAACCGTTAAAGGGTGAATGAAGTCTAATGAACGGAAGAAACGATCGGACGCGAGCAGAGGCCGCGGTGTAAAGTCGTACTCACATCGGCCGTGCCGTCCGACAATCCTCCGTTGCTGGACTTGCACTTGAACGGGCTGGCCTGCAGGTTAATCGTGTTGATCTTCCGATCGACGGGCCTCTTCGCGGTGGGCACGGCCTCGTCACCGCCGAACGGCGTCACCGAGACCAGCAGCGTCGTCTTCCTGCCGTCCGCGTCTCTCTGTATTCTGCCCAGCATCAGGGAGGCGAAGGACTTCGGGGGCGTCGTCGTCGTGGGCGACTTGATCGCGTCGCTTGACCCATTGCTCCCCGGGGGATCCGTCAGGTTCGCGGTGACCGTGTTGAAGTTGGTGTTGGCGCGGGTCTGGTTGCCCAGCGCGCGTTCCTCCTCGCTGTCCGGCACCTCGTCCTCCGGGCTCGCGCTCGAGTCGACGTGGAACTCATCATGCTCCTCCTCGCTGTCGGAGAAGAAATCGTCCCCGCCGTAGCCGATTATCTCGGTGAGGGAGTCGGGAAAGCCGACGTTCTTCTTCCGCTGATCCTTCCGGCAGACCGTCTTGCCACGCAGGATGCTCTGCAAGGATCACCTCGTCAGAACGTGCGAGCGAGCGTGTATATCGTTTCGAAGCGACACGAGCAACGGTGAGAGAAAAGAACATTCTAATACGGCCGGTCGGTCGGTGATGGCCTCCTGCTAATTGGACACAGTTACGCAACAGTACAGTATATCATACCCTTCACGCTACCTATCGACCTTGTGCAAATTCCAACGGTAATTGCGCATCGCGAGTATCAATTTGTTGTGCGAAGTATCCGTTCGCCGTAAACGTCGTCACACGGAGAAAGAATCTCAGTTCCGGCGACCGGAGGTGAGAATTAGATGGAAATTCGGTGCGATGAAATGTGATACAGGAATCTTTCTGTTTCTACAGCCGAATTTTCGTCCGGTCCTCGGACAACGGAAAATTTCGTTACACTAACGAAGTTGGTGTTTTCCGTGCACGAAATGATCCGCACGAAGGAAGACGGGCGAACTGTTTAAGCTGTGCCAAGTAAAGCTACTTGAGATCCCAACCAGGATGTAACGCTTTTCTCCCAGTTATTGTGTACAAAAGATACGCAAAATCTGAACCCGTTTATTGAACGGAAACGTAACAATAAACGTTAAAAACGTCCCGATCTTGGATATTGAACTGTCTGGGATGCGAATATATTAAGAAATATCCGGACGACAGGCAGATTGTGCGCGATTATGCCGATACCTGTAGCTGAAGGTGGTCGATCTTCAGGTTCGTGGAAGCCTTCTCGACGTTGAGCCTCAAGATTTCATCAGCCGCCGCGTGTTCCTCTTTCGGCTTGAAGCAGTTCGAACAGAGCTCCTTCTTCCAGGCGTTTTGCACGAAGCGATTGCATTGTGTGGACATTGTTGCCTCACCGCGCGCGCAGCGACAGCGAAAGTCCCGTTACATCATCACCCTGGAAAGGAAAGAGGTGAAATAGTAATCGTTCTCGATTCTCCGATCGTCACGACATTCCACCGCGTGCGCATGCATGGCGCGACTTCGTTGAGAAAACCTCGCGAATAAAGCTCGCAGATTTAATTTCCGGATTTCCATTTCCCGCGACTTTAATTCCACCGAGACTCGATTGCGAGAGGCAAATTGGGATTGCGCCAGAGACGTCTCTCCGAAACCGGCTCCTCTCTTCGAGGCTTCGCGACACAACCATCTGGTTGTCGTCGACGAGAGCGATCACAATGGACGGACACGTTTGAGCCAAAACGAAACGAGCGAGTATATTTTCCTGTCCGCAGCGTCGGCGGACAGCCACTGCGAATACAATCGGGACAATTGACTGGAGCTGCCCGGCCGACTGAGTAATTGCCTCACTTCCGGTCTCGGTTTCATTCGCAGCTGCGACGACCTCTGCTCTCCACCCGTCATTAGCGAGCGATACGTAAAAGTATCATCGCGAAGTTTTCCTTCGCGCTTACGCAGCCGAGAAAATGACTCGAGATGTTCCCGGGGATTTTTCGTTTTTGGAGGAAAAGCGATTCGAAGCAATCAATTTATCGCCCTTCGCAATGTACTTTCAAGACCTCTCAATGATGTTCGTTGTGCACAGTTGGGCCGAGGAACGTCCGGTAATGAAATTGAGAAATTTTCATTACACTCGTTTTCATTAAAAGCACCGCTAATACCTTGTCATAATTATTTTTATTACAGAATCACGCGTACCGTGGCTTCTTCGTAGAATGCAGATTGTAATGTAAAATCAGTTATCGCTTCTTCACCATTACGATTTTCATCGTTTAATTGTTCGGCCCTCGGCTACGCCTGTGGTCGGCCGCAAATCGTCGGTCAGCAGGTGACGATATCAACCGGGGCAATTTCTATCGTTAACGTAATATCGGATTGTATCGAAACAGCGATTCACCGTAAGTTCTCGCTGTGAACAACAGTGATGTCACTTTCGGAAATTCTTGGATATCCGTCTTCCCAATACCGACCGGTATCCGTCCGCTTATCGCGCGAACCTCGAGGTGGATGAACCTTATCTTCGCCGGGGCGACAGCCGACAACACAGGGGGAGCTGCGGCATACCGGAACGAAGGATATCACGCGCGCACCGAGGACGAAGACTCGTGACGACGACGTACGGCGACGTCCCATTAGCATGCAGGACTCGCGGACCAGGTACAAAGTACCGTTGCCAATCTCGTTGATCCGTTACATCTCTCGCGTTCCTGTCTCTGCGCCTTGGAAATTCGCGCGTGGAAAGCCAGTCTCTACGGTCTCGCGGGCTGAAAGTCTGGACTAACGTCGAGAAACGCGCGCCCGGCTTCCCGCGTTTCTCCGACGGGGAATCCGTCCGGAGAATTTACCGCCGTTGCGAGAAGACATATGTCGCTCCCGCGGAAAAATGCAAATTGCGACTTCGACGAGTCGGAGCGTCCGGGCGTAATCAGCGACGCGGAGGGTGCAGCCGCGGTATAAAGAACTCGTCGCGCCGTCTCCGAGCCGCGCGGGAGAGTAACGTCGTTCTCCAAATGTGATTTGTATTCCCGAATATCCGTCTCCGACAATCACGACGCTGATTCATCGCTCCGTTGATTGCCCATTCGTTACGTTTATCTGCCGACCGCAGGTTGCCTAATGGAATAATCGAGTGATGATTTCTGAAATGAACTCTGATTCCCTCGAATTGGGCGCGCAATTGGCGGAAGATGGGTTTAATGTATCAAGGGACGATCGCGCTCACACATTGCGAAAGAAAAGTGCTACATTCATGTACAAGCATACGAATATTTGCTGAGGAAATATTGCAGTAATTCATTTCATTTGGATTAAATCACTATTGCTTGAATTGAATATTTTTTTCAGTATGCTACATTCGAGTGATACTTATGTAATCCGAGTAAAATAACTACTCCGATATTCCTCGGCAGATATTGTTGAAAAGTAGCACTTTTTACTCTCGATACGGAGATCAGAGTTTGTTAGGTCAGACCTTCCCGAATCTTCCGCAGCGGCTCGGAATAAACCGCGGACTCACGACGATGTCACTTTGCGATCACTATAAATTAACCGTTGCCGCATAACTGCGTACAACGGACCGCGTAGTACAGTAGTTGCGACTTAGCGTTCATTATAAATTAACGGTGCCCACGCAGCTGCGTGTCCCAGCGGAACCGTGAGAAGGCGATAATCTGTCGATACTCGTACACGCGGGAAAACAAACCGGCCGGAGTGCCACGCAGAAGAGTTTCCTTCTTTGAAGCACGGCCGCACAGGCAGACCTTGTCGAGACGTTTCATTCCATTGAGATGACGCGCGGCGTTGCGCGCCGCGGCATACCAAGCGAAGAGCAAGGCGAGGCTCAATGCCGAAGAAATCAAATGGATTTTAAGTATCGCGACACTCTCGGGCGCTTTCAATCTCCGAAGGTCCGAGAGTCGAGAATGCCCGCGGCTTTCTGACCGTTGCGCCTTGCATTCCTCGACGAGTGCCTCGAAAATTAATTTTATCTCGATTTTTGCGTCGGTTGATCACACCGATCAACACAAAAATTGTATCCTAGATTTAAATTGTCAATTCCAGTGAATTTTATGACGTCGATCGCAAATACAACGTTTAAAAAGAATTTCTGTCAGTTTTTCTGACAGCACGAAACGTAAAAGTAAGAAATTATGAAAATATATTCCGCTGGCTTTTCTTATTTGTCACACCTCAGTCGCTGTTAATTTACGAAAATTGAAGCCTATATTTCTTGAACTACAGTTAAGTAACTGTAATTTTCTGTTTCAACGTATAAACAGAAAAAAGATCAAAATTCGAAAAGAGTACGATTCGCCGAGTTGAAATTTCAGTTCTTAAGTCTATTTAGTTCTACATTAAGTCTTCAAAGGTTCTCTATTGCTCCCTTTGTTGCACAAACGGCAAGTTATTTCCACTTGAAGACTCGATGTAGAATTTAAAATTTCCCCCGGAGGTACCCTATGTAGCATCAAAGAAGCGTTATTAGTGCTCCTTTGATGCTACAAATGGGAAGTTATTCCCGTTTTTCGCCACTTGAAAGGCTGAATGCAGAACCAAGCGGACTTAACGCGGGACTATAACTTTCGATCCGGCTTGTGACGCGAAATTTGCTGACCAATGACACCTGCGTTCAGATTCGTATTCCGATCTGAGCATAAACGACGTTCATTTGAAAACCGCTTGAACCTTTAATTTAATAACGAATCGTAACGGTACAGTGATTATGTAGAAGCTTATCCGGGGAGGCGACTTATGGTCACGCTCGGGTCGAGAGTTCTCACTCTGTGAGAAATTCCTCCGAGCGAGGCGAGTGTTATAAGTGACACTTCCACCACGACCGGCGATTATCGGTAATTATCGTGCCGTCAATGAATAAGCCAAGCATTCGATCGGCGGGTCGCTTTAAAAGCCGTGAGTCGCGGGACTATTGGATTTGTTTAGAGCGGCTTCGCGCGAAAACACGTAAGCTGCACGCGATGCGAGCCGCAGCAGTCCCGGTGAATCACGGCGGCACAAAGGATAATGCTTAATGTGTCGCGAAAATAAATGTCGGCGCTCGTCTCTCACGTTACTTCCCACGGCAACGAACGAACGTGCATAGCGCCAACATGTGTAAGGGAAACCCGGCGAAATGATCGTACGCGGTCACGTAAATACGGATATGCGAAAAACAGGAGCCCGCAAACTAGACCTTGAGCGCGAAGGAGAAGAAGCGAAATAACAAGGTCTCCCGTGATTACGGACGAGACGGCAGAGACGGAGATTCATACGCGCGGTTTCCGCTACGGCGCGGAGTCGCTTCTTTTCGTGGTACTGCAATAATTACTGTTAACCCGCCGCTTCATTGCGGCCATTAAACCTACCGGTAACCGTAAGGCGTCTGGGAATTTCGATGGAGCGCGGACGAGGGATTACCCGGAGGAGGAGGAGAGAGAGAGGAGGGAGACGAACCGTTCGCTCGAGATCGCGGGGGTACGCCGTCGTTTGCGCGCAGCCGAAAGAAAGGCATTTAATGGGTCAAGTGCGAGGTAATAATTAGCTAATGCTGGTCGCTCGGTACACATTAACGCCTCGGGGATTACACTGTTTTATAGGAAACATAATTGCAGAACGGGGCGCCCCCGAATTATCACGTTTCGATGCACGTTTCAGCCTCGGTGCTGTGCAACCTCCGTAAAGACGTAATTAAGCGCCCTTCTAACTGACGGTACTTCCCGCTGATCGGGGGCGCTCGTGAACCCATAATTTTCCAATGTTCAACTTTTCGTGCGAAAACCCCACGGTTGGAAAAGATCCGGTTGAATTAACGCGACAGCGAACAAATCGGATGCGTTTTGACGAAGACAGAATTTTTTGTTGTAACAGAAAAGTGTGCTAGATTCGAGTAAATAATTACTCCGATATTTCTTAGCAAATTCGGATCAAGCAATGCTTCATCCAAGTAAAATATTTTCCAAGTAAATGATCAAACTGAAATACGTTTACCTTGATCCAAGTGAAATTTACTCAATTAAGTGTAATTAATTTAGGATACATTTGGATAATCTGATCAGAGTGTATGTGTATACTATGACATTTGAAAAAAATAGGTAATTACGTTACCAGACTCGATCACGTTCTTTTTTCCGCGCGGAGATCCTGTTTCCGCCGAAACGCGTTTGGTACGTCCATCGTCACCGTTGATTCGACCAATTTCCTTTCTCCGCGCGCGAAACTGACACGCGAGCGCAGCGGCTTCGGAAATGCAGGAGCAGTTTCCGCCTTTGACGCGAGATTCCGCTCGAGCATTTCATCCGAGTCGGCCGGTATCAACAGGCCGGCAACGGACGAGCGCGCGTTTCACATAATTACGCGAAAAATGAGAGGAGAGACGCTCATATTGCACACTTCCTGGCGCGGCCGAATGGAGAACAGGATGTCTGCGAGCGACGGACGCCG